TTTCCGTTATCATTTTCATTATGCTTTTAATTCTTTTCGGTTGTGGTTGATTTTATTTGATTCAAAAATTTGATTTAAAAATTTGATTTAATTTTTTTTGAGTATATTAATATATTGAGAAAATATCAAATCTATATCAAATATATCAATTGAAATTATTGATTTATGCAAAAATGAAATGATTGCATTTTTATTATAAATTTATTAAATTTTTTAAAAAAAAAGCAAAACAATTAAAAAAAAAAAAAAAAAAAATTAACTTTTAAAAAAAAAAAAAAAAAAAAAAAAAAAAAAAAAAAAAACCAGGAAGACAGCACAATGTGACTTTATATATATATAATTACATATCGAAAAATCTTATTATGTACCAATGACTTTCTTAATATTTAACACCTAATCATACGAGTATAATTTGAATATAAAAACATAAATATTTATAAGTGAAGTGAATTGAATATGACAGATTTAATACATATTTTGATGACAAATGTAAAGTAAGTAAATTAAAGTTATTAAAAGTATAGTATACTGATAAATCTGGGCGACAAATTGAATATTAAATTAAATAAATAAATTAAATAAATTAATCTCAAAAATCTCAAATAAAAAAAAAAAGCAAATAAAATGTGTAATTGATTTAAAGACTAAATATTATTTATTGAACTAATTAACGGGATAAATTTTACGTTACTTGGTGATTAATAATATTAATTATAAAAGATTAATTTATTGAAGGGCGGTTAATTAATTAAATGTTTAATTACTTATATATAAATAAAAAGAAATATGAACGTCTCTCTTTTTTTTTTATATCTCTTCATTATTGTATTTACTATATCGACGCGTTTTACTTTATTAATTTCATATATTCGTGATCATACTTTGTTACAATTTTGGTTTTCTTTCAATAATAATAATAATAATAATATTCAATAATAATATTCAATAATAATAAATTCAATATTCAAATTCATATTTTCAATTCAAATTTATTAAAAAAACATCGCCGGCGATCTCTTAAATATGAGTAATGTAAATTGTGTTTCGCTTTGTAATACTAATACTCAACAACAACGTCATCGTACAACTCCTTCACAAGTCCAATTTCTTGAAAATTATTTTACAACTGTCGATGATTTTCCCGACTCAAATATGAGAGAAAAAATTTCCTCAAAATTAAATATGCCTTCAAAAAGTGTTCATATTTGGTGACCATTTTTTTTTTTTTATAATTTTTAATGATCAAA